ACTACCAGTACTACCACTACCACTGTTACTACCACCACCACCACCACCACTATCACTACTACCGCTAATTCTCCTCCTCCTTTGTTAGTGGCAATAATACTTGTAGAGTTCTCAAGATATTACTGAAGTCATGTAAACGTACAAATAAGAGCTATTAATCTCATGTCTCTTTAAAGCCATACATTTCTTATCATCGTATCATTACATAAAGTTTAAAAGAAGAGAAAAATCAGATACATTTTAATTTACCAAAAGGCATGTGTGATCATTTTAAGTTTTATGGTTATATATTTTAACATGGTTGTGATCTTAGTGTATCGTTTTTATGTTCCATTTTCCCACATTACTGTTAATGAATTTTTCATGTTGGTACTATATATTTAAAATGATAACTACCTCTCCACATGGTAGAATTTTAGTTGATTCCCATTTTTTTTAACTATTGTAAGCCATGCATGTTGCATTTAATACTGCTTTTTTCCTTAACTTGGATTATTCCTTTTATAAAGAATTCTGTATCAATGTCTGTAGTTTTTTTTTACAAACTCAATAGTTAAAAATTGACCCTCTTTCTAAATTTTTATTATTTTTACCTGCTACTTTTTAGATATTTGAATACACGTATCTTAAAGCCACTTAATTTTCTTGATGTTATTATCAGAAGTACTCTCTCATCAGTGCCAGACAAAGCAAGGTTATTGGCATGATCCTTGCTTCCAATTCAGGATTACAACCCTGGTGCAGACAGTGTATAACCACCACTGTTTAGCTATATGAAGCATGACAAGTGCTATGCAAATACTACTTCTCATTATTAGTTATTAATTCTGGCATGGTACTATAGGGAAAAAGTAACTTTGCCAGAAATTTTACTATCATTCTATTAGCCTCCTTTAGTGTAGGTTGCCACTGGTGATGGTGGGTAAGAATACAGAGCAGGTGAGATCTGTTAAGTTATGTGGGAAAGCCTATCACAGTGTCCCTCATTTTCCAGGGTTAGCACAGTGCAAATTTTCTATGAGTTCTTTGGAATTTGACCAGCGACTGCTTTGCCTGGGCCATTCTGCTTGATCCTGAGGCTGTGCAGATTTCTGGCTTGTGAGTATATCCACACAGACCTCTCACTGTACTCTGAACTCCACTTTTATGTTCCCTGAACTTTGCTTACTTTTGTGATCTCAGATTCATTGTGACCCCATTAGTGTCCTTCCTTTGTAGCCTGCTCTCATGTCTTGTTTTTTTGTTCAACTGTTATAACATGTTGCCATCCTTTATCCAGTAGGGAAAATTTAGTCTATGGGTATAAGAATTAGATATTTTGCTTGTATTGGAGAATAACACAGTTATCAATTTCTTAGAAAGAGAAAAGATGAAAGGTTAAGAAAATAGAGCAGATGCTATGGGCTTCCTCTGCAATTTCCCCAAGCTGGGAAGGAAGAGTGTAGCACAACCTCTAAGTTAGAACACATGCTGCTAGTTTTGAAACAGAAAAAAACAAACTAATTCCACAGTGTTATTGTGATCATGTCAAAATATAAATGACATGAAAGTTACAATTTAAAATATTTAAGGGTACACTTCAGCGGCACTAAATACATTCATTATCATGCAGATGTTGCCAC